GAGCTATCTTCAGGTTCACTAATTCCTCTTTCATCTTTATTCTCTTACTGAGTCCCCCAATGAGTTTACTAGATTTTATTGTACTTTTCAGTTCCATAATTTTATGTTTCTTCTTTATCTTTTATTACTTTGCTGATATTTTTAGCCTAACATTTGTTGTAGGAGTGTTTGCAGTTGTTCAGTCATTTTTAGAACAGCAGGTTTAAATTCTGTCTCAGCTAATTCCAATAATGATTGTCTTAATCAATAATGATTGGCTTAGTACCTGACACCCACAACTTAAAGAAGGAGAGGTTTATTTTAGCTCCTGTTTTAGAAGTTTCAGTCCTTGTGGGGTCAGCTGCATGGTTGAGGGGATCTAGGTGGAGGATAATATTAATATAATAATATCATTATGAGGGTTTATATCTGGATGTCCCCCAAAAGCCTCATGTACTCAAAGGAGAGTCTGTCCATGGGTTTTTAGTTTTGTTTTTTTGCTTTCTCTGTGGTTTTTTTTGTTGTTGTTGTTGTTTTTTACTGGGGATCGAACTCGGGTCCTTGCCTTGTGGGGCAGGCAGCAGAACCACTGAGCTAAATCCCCAGCCTTTCTCTGTTTTACTGGGAGGAATTTGGAGAAACTAAAAAATCATGCTACTACTACCACTACCACCATTTTCCTCATCAATTTATAAATTTACTTCATTCCCATTGCATAAGATTTGACTATAAATACTCCCAACTTCCCACTCCTTCTCCTTTCTCCATCTTGAAACCTCTGTCTCCTCTACCTTGTCCAAGTAGTTAATATTTGTATTTTATTCTGCAGTCACTATTAAGTTATGTGTTTTTCTAGGTTGGTTCTAAAATTAAAAGCCAATAAATAACACTTACAATTATGACTATGTAATTATTTCTATATAGTGGATTGTGATTACACTCTTCCTCTCTGTTTTTCTATTGAATCTTCTGTGCCACTCATAAGAAGTTATGCTGAGTTCAAAGTCAATGTTTTTCAGGAATTCTTTAGTTTTTCCTCTTATTGAACCTTGTGGATCCCAGTTTCATCTTTGTTTACTGAAATTTATTCTTAAATAATTTCTCCTACTCTCTGGGAGATGAACATTACTTGGTGCTCAGGTTAAATAGATATTTGTGCTGAGTACAGAATTTTAACTTCAAAATCATTTTCTTCTAGAATTTATGAAAACCTCATTCCAATATCTTCTATTCTTCATTGGTTTAAATGACATTTTATGCCCATCTGAATCTCATTATTTAGGTTTTTTTCTGGAGATTTTAGGAGCTCATCTTTCCCATTATCTTTCTGAGTGTCACACTGATGTTGTTAGGAATGTGGTGACTTAACTACAGTAAAGTTTTAGAACCACTGTATCTCATTACTAATGGAAACTTTAATTTTGAAAGGGTTAGAATTAGTGTTAACACATCTGAACATATGGGGCTTTTACAGATGATGAAAACAAGCCTTTACAATAATTTTAAGCACTTAATCAACTAACTTAACCAACTATATTGCTAACATTATAAAATAATTGTTACTAAGTTTTCCTAGGGGAGATGGAGGAGACTATCTAAGGTAATTATAAGCCTAGCTTATAATTAGTTCTTTTTTAAATTTTCAGGGGCCTGTACCACTCAGGCCTTTAAAATCTATTTTTATCTCCTTCTGTTCCTTGTCTGCCTTTACTCCTCTGTTCCTCATGATGAGTCTGGAAGGGAGACAGAGTTCAGACCAAACTTGTCCCTTTTGCTGCCTGGCTGAAAGGGACCTGGTAAGAAGACGGGACAGAGTTGTTTACTGAGGTGAAGGCAAAACTGTCTGGGGTATTTACATTGTCTGGGCTTCCAGTTCTAAGTTTCACTAATCCACAAACTACAGTGTTCTAAGGCTGACATTTGAGTTTAGTGAAGAAGAGTGCAGGCTCCAGAGTCGGGGCCATATGGTGAGCAAATTACTTTCACTCTGAGCTTTGGTTTCCCTTTCTGTAAAATAAGTCATGTGGATAAGGTTTAATTGAGTTTGTATGTATAAAATACTTAGCAGTGTATTCCATATAGTGAATTCTTTAAAAATAGTATTTGTAGTTGTTTTTATTATTCATGGACAAAGAATGGGCTTCGCTAGAATCTTATGGTAAAACACACACACACACACACACACACACACACACACACACACACACCCCACCACAAAAAGCTTTTGATACCATCATAAATTTCTGAGGTCATATTTTGTGCCAACTACTATTCTAGACACTTTACATAAATTAGTCCTGACCATTATTATTCCCAGCCAATAAGAAAAATGATATTTTCATTCACCTAAGAAGAAATTGAGGCCAAAATGATAGTGCTGGTAAAGAATAAAGCTGGAATCTGACTCCAAATATGATGTGTATTCTTTTTTAGCATTCCCAAAGTGTAAGGTATCTAAGAGGACTGAAGATAACATTGGCTAGAATCCTTAGGTCTGGTAGTAGATACATGGTGAGGAAAATAAGACAGCGAGGGGACAGTAATATATGAAAAAATTTCTTGTTAGGAAGAAATTCTCTTTCTGTTCTGAAAATTTTCACTTCTCTGGAAACATTTATAGAACATCCCTGCTCAGCATTCACCTGTGGGATCCCTGGCTGTGGGTCTTGGGGCCCAGGGAATGTGCAGGCAAGTAGAAGAGAGGCTCCCACATGAACGTGCTGCAGGGCCTCTCATCATTTATCCAGTGCACTTCTAAGCTGTAAGGGAGCTGATATTTTGTCAGATACATGAGCTCCTTTATCATTTTCAATAGGTGATATGGTCATGTGATTCAGAAATCACAATAGTATAAAAAGGTACATTGAGAAATCTTGGGTCTGTCCTTGTCCTCATTCCCTCTGCTTCCTCTACCTCCATAAAAACACCTTTTTAGGGCTGGGGTTTTAGCTCAGTGGTGCCACCCTGCCTTACAAGTGCAAGGTCCTGAGTTCGATCCCTGGTACCAAAACAAACAAACAAATAAAACCCACAAAAGCACCCTAGCCTTTTAAAAAAGAGCCTCTTTGAGCCCAGGTTGGCCTCAAACTCCTGGGCTTAAATGATACTGCTGCCTTGACCTCCTGAAGATAACCATTTTTAATAGTGTGCCATTCTAGCATTCCTTATTCAGATTCAATAAAATAAAAATTTTTATTACTATCTCATTACACAAGCACATCTCACTTTATTCACTTAATATATTCTGAAGATCTTTTTATATTGGTACATAAAGAACTTTTTCATTCTTTTTTAATAGCTCCATAATAAATTTCAGTAGTAAATAGTATATTTAAGTCAACCTCAAATAATGGACACTTGGGCTGTTTCTAATCTATTGCTTTTAGAAGCAGAACTAAGTAAATAGCTTTGTTCATATATCTCTAGGAATTTAGTGCACTTCTTATTTTAGTACAAATTCCTAGAAGTGGGAAGTGTTATTTGGGGTCAAAGAATAATTGCCTTTGTCACATTAGCTTGCTTTTGCCTTATTCCCCGTTCCCCTGTGGTACTTATTTCCACTTAAGTTCTCCAACAGAGCATGTTGATAGACTTGAATTTTTTTGACATATTTTAGGTGAAAAATGATATTTCAGTGTTGTTTTTATTTTCCTTGTTCAAAATTAAGTGAGGCATTTTTTTTCATATGAAGTTTTTGTATTTCTTTTCATGTCCTTTGCTCCCGTTTTCTTTGGATTGTTGATCCTTTTCTCCTTTCTAGGAGTCTTTATTTTAGTAAAACTGTTCTGATTCAAATACTTTTTTCTCCAGTTCGTTACTTATTGTTTGACTTTGCTTGTGTGTGTGCATAATATTTTCAATCTTGTGGATTTTTTTCCTGTTATGAAGTCAAACTTTTCATTTTTCTTTTTTGGCTTCTAGACTAACAGGGTTCCTCAGAAGCATTCCAGTAAGCTATTATAGAAATCTGAGTATGTACATATGTTCAGTAGGTACAATAAATAAAATGCCAGCTTTCATCACCACTGTAGTTTATCTCAGTACTATGTGCTCTGACCTGTGTTGGGACAAGCTGAGCTTCCCCTACAGCTGTGACCATAGATGATTCCCACTATCTTTAGGGTAACCCTTGCCCGTATCTTCTGCCTTCCTTTTTCTCTTGTTTCATTTAGCCATCTCAAAACCTTTTCTCCACTGTAAATGAGGCACCCATCTGAAAGTGTGGGCAGAAAAGCTGATTTAGACCATGCTGCTGGAGCAAATGGCCTTCCAGAGTCAAACCCTTCACTAGTGATTAAGACTTGACCTCAAGCTAGCTTTTAGCTTAGAGTCCTTGTGCACATGCAGGTCACAAATATACTCTTTTTTTCCCCTCTTTTGGCAGCTTGATAAGTGCAATCTTCTCTCTTGCCACTGCCCTAGCCTCTAACACTTGCAGAGGAGGGCTCCTGGGGGGGGGGGTTCATATAGCCCAGTGTTGGCAAATCTATGGCACATGTGCCACAGCCAGCTGTTTGTTATCATTGAAAGCTCTAAAAGGTTTGCCATCACTGCTGTAGCCTGAAGTAAGCTATGCTGCTCGGCTACACTCCTGGATGATTTTCTCTTAAAAGATTATTTTGTTTCATTTTAATTTTCCTCTTTGAATTAAAAATGAGCAGTTTCATAGGGCCAGGGATTTACCTCTGGCACTGTGCCTGCCTGGCAAGCCCAAAGTCCTGCGTTCAACCCCCCAGTACTGGAAAAACAAGCAAACAATGAGCAGTTTCAATTTTTTTTGGTTTTGGGGGAGCGGTTTTTTGGTACAGGGGATTGAACTCAGGCCCTTGCACAATGCCGCAGAGCTAAATCCCTGGCCTAGCAGTTTCAAATTTTAGTGACGTTTAAAAGCCATATATTGAGTTTTAGAATATTAATTGAATTTTAGTAATCCAGCTTGTAAAACTTTTCCTAAAATAATAAATATGAAAATTTATCTTTAAATCATTGAATTATAACTTAAACTTATGTTTCTTTTACAGAAAAAGACACTATGGACGTATGGTGCAATGGTAAAAAGATGGAGACAGCGGTATGTTGACCTTTTGGTTATTCTCAGTGCCTTATGTGTAAGTTACCATTGAAATGCTAATTCCAAAGCTTTTACAATTAACCAAAGTCCTCTAGGTAGAAACAGAAAAAGAAATTAAGTATTCCTGATGCCACATTCTGAAAACCTCGCCCAGACAGTTCCTGGGCCAGTGACAGTTTGGAGACCACCTGTGTTCTGAGCTGGCCTTTGCATTTTCCTTGCCTTTCCTGGCTCAGGCTCTTATCTTAGAGTCTTCACATTAAAAAGTTCCTTCCTGAAAGGCTGGCATCCTTTGTGTTTATCCATATGAACATATGAAGTAATGCTTTATACCACTTCTTCTCAAATTTGCATGTGTAGACATCACCTGAGATCTTGTTAAAATGTAAATTACAGCATTTATCTCACTGCTGCCAGGGGTGTTGGCCCACAGATGGTACATAGAGTAGGAAGGCCTGCATCACATTCCCAAAACAGATATACTTTTCTAAAAGCAAGGTTTCTATGCATACAATATCAGATGTCAGGAAAGGACACTGTTACAAACCTCAGAAGATGAGTCTTGTTGTGGCTGTTTTGGAACAGCTTCAGTCGCGATGAACACAGTGGTTCCAGCTGTGCACCTAGTACTGCATCTAGTGGTCCTTCCTCTTCTTTCCTACCCTGGAATTCTCTGGATGGAGAATCAGGACTTTTAAATCACATCTTCTCCCACTTGGAAGGAATTTTCCAGAATAAATGGAAAAATAATGTTGTTTTATGGTGTAAAGAATGTAGTTCTAGGGGTGGGGATGTAGCTCAATGGTAAAATGTTAGCCTAACATGCACAAGGCTCTGGGTTTAATCTTCAGCACTAGGGGAAAAAAAAAGAAATAAAGAACATGGTTTGAAGGTAAAAATAATGATCATCTGCACCATGCCTGCCTTGCAAGCACAGTGCCCTGAGTTTGATTTCTGGTACAAATAAATAAATAAATAAATAAGACCATGCACAATGTCTGTGTTCCTTAGTCACTGACAGGAAACATCAGTGCTTGGAATATAGCTCTTTGTAACCCAACTGCCCCCTCACTGTAACTGCAGTCTAGTTTTGGGGCAGAGTGGGCAGCTCTGTATTCAGGCAGCTTTCCTTCCCCAGTCTGTACACATGTGTACCATACTGCTCTTGCTGCCTATGAGTTACAGCTTATTTTGCCCTTTTTCTTTCCATCTCAATGCATCAGGATCCAAACTGTGAGTTTGCTAAATTGCCAAGAAGTGACTTATAGGGATTGCATAACTCCACCCTGCCCTACCCTCCAAAGCCTTTTTTTCCAAAGCTCACTGTAAAAGCACGCTGCACTCAAGAACATGTGTGTGCTGGCACACCACGCCAAAAGAACCATGGCCGGTACTTCTCAGAGGTAGCAAAAACTTCTCTCCCTGATGTTTCCTGTGCTTTTATCAGCTAGATAATGTTATGAAGGGGCCTTGCTCTGTCTGCTTTGGACATCACGATGCTCATGGTCAAGTTTTAAGTCTGGTTGAGGTGTTTGCTTTCTGGCATAATTTATTTTTAGCCTCTAAGCTTCTCTGGCCTTCATTTTGCTATTTTGCTCCTACCTTCTTTACTCTATACTAGTGCTTTTCAATAGAAATATAACAGGAGCCATAGGTATGAGCCTCGTGTAATTTTTTTCCATTAGACACAGTAAAAAAAATTTAAGGTGAATTTAAATAATATACTTCATCAATATAAGTCAATATATAAATATCATTTAACATATAATCAATAGGTTATATTATTTTATTTATGTTGGTTTGTTTATTTATTTTGGTACTTGGGATCAAACTCGGATCCTTGCGCTTGCAAGGCAAGCTGCGGAACCACTGAGCTAAATCCCCGGCACTCATTAAGTTATTTTAATTACTTTTTCATACTAAGTCTTTAAATCCAGTGTATATCTTAAATAGCATATTTTATTTCAGACTAGTCACATTTCAAGTGCTCAATGGATTTAGTGGTGTCTGGTTTTATGCTATGTGTGTATTTTATTGTAAACCACCTTATACTTTAAGGAATCAAATTTTCACATTGGTAAGGACACTCCATCCCCTCCTGACTGGAGCCTTCAGAAAATTACTTAATAACCACCCTGTTCCTCAATTTCCACATCTATAAAATGGGATGATAATAGGACAGAATTTGTAGCAGTTACTATAAGGCTGCAGTGAGATTATGCATGTACACTGTTCTTGGTATAAGTAACTGAGAAATGTTTATTACCATGTTCATTTTTACTTTTGAAAACACAGTCTATGTGATAGACATACAGTCATGTGTACACTCCCCAAAAAACCCTTAAGATTCTTAAAGATTGTAGGGATCATAAAAAGAAACTTTCAATTCATAACAGAAATGTAAAAGCACCTAAACTTGACTTGATATTTCACTTAATATATTACACCAACAGTGCTTTTTCTTTTTCCGTACAGAACTAGGGATGGAATCAGAGCCTTGCCTGTGTTAAGCAAGTGCTCTGCCACTGAGATACATCCCTAGCCCTGCTTTTGGGTGGTGTTAATGCTGTAGGCAAAGAGGAATATTTCTAATCCTTTCTTCTTCTGTTGTCTTAGGATGAGTTTGTAGATGATGGGACTGAAACACACTTCAGTGTTGGGAACCATGACTGTTACATAAAGGCTGTCAGTAGCGGGAAGCGGAAAGAAGGAATTATTCATACTCTCATTGTGGATAACAGAGAAATCCCAGAGATTTTTAAATGACTTCATGTTAATGAATTTTCATCTTAAGAAATAAAGACCAGATCTTTTTAATTACTGTGGTAATTAAATGTTTCAGCATGTACTTATCAGTACACTTAGTCTGCAATGTTTTTATTTTTCAGTTACTTAAAACTGTAATATTCCAAGAGTTAGGGAAAAACAAACTATGTGCAACATAAAAGTTACAATTTATTAAATAATGTAAAGTGTTTAAAACCAAAGTAGACAATAAAATATGGACCAAATTTACTAATGTTTTACAATAGTAATCTTTACTATAATGAACACTACAAAATAAAATAAAATCAGTGCTGCTTGATTTTTTTTCTACAAATGGATGTTTTTGAGTATATATACATATATATATATGCACACACAATTATGTACAATTAAAAAATATATAATACACCTCCTATATGTATGTGTATGTAAATGTCACTATAAATGAAAATGTTACCCAGAGATAATAAAATAATTTTTTAAATTAAAAAAATATATATATATAATACATAATTTTTTTCAGTATTGGAGATTGAACCTAGGACCTTCAGAATGAACTATATCCCCAGCCCCTTAGTATAAGAACTTAAAAGTACAGGTTTCTGAAGATGTAGTTGTCTAACACAGTGAGGACCAAATGAGGAAAAGAAGCGGACTTGTTTGCACCACACTGCATCTGTGCATCATCAGGCAGGGATTAAAAGTCTGTGTTGGACCTCCATCTGAACACTCACCAACACCAGCAGCACATCAAGTGCTGGAGCAAGGTTGGTTTCAACAATCTTAAGGTCTTTCAGGACTGAATGGGATTAGTTTAGAAGGAGAGGCTTGTACAGTATTCGGGTATTTCACATCCATTGTCACATGCTTAACCTCCGTGAGGGGAATTCTCCATTTTCTAGACTTGCTGTATCCAGTATGATCATCATTATTACATGGCTATTCAGTTAATTGAAATCACAATTTAAAATTCTGTTCCCCAGTCACACTGACCACATATCAAGTCCTCAACAGTCTCATGTGACTGCCATCTTGGACAGGACAGCTATAGACCACTTCCATCCTCACAACAAGTTCTGCTGTACAACACTGATCTACACACTACCTCAGATCGAGTGAATCGTTCAGTAATAGACTAGGCAGGATTTAAACCCAGATTGTTCTGGCGCTAAGATCCATGCCCTTTACAACTATTTTTGCACATTAACATAACCTCCAAGAGATTTGGGGGCAGAACAGAGGCAGAAACAGATTCTAACTCCAGGAGAGGAACTAAGGGCAGGACACCAATAAAAGACATGACTTGATAGCCTGGGCCAGGCAGGCAGCACACATGGTAGCCAAAGGAGGATATTAAGACTGCTGATTGCTTTCCCTAATGTCTTTTTATTTTGATTTCTTCACAACTGACAGCTCAGTAAAAGTTTACAAAAATAATCCCAAACTGCTCTTCCCACTTTACCCCCTATCCCCAGCTTTGCTTCACTACCCTGGAAAACCAGGGTATAAACTAAGTGACAGTTGGAGGCCTATTGAACTCTCATTTGGGTTTGCTTTCAAGGGTACTGGTGTCATGGTTTGTTTTAATTTTTCTTGAGTAAAGAGCTTTTTTAAAAGGCCATAATTAATCTGGTATAAAAAGTGTTTTGTGCCATGTCCCAAAACACTATGGCATTTTTTTTTTTTTGAACCATAGTTACTCTTGGTAAAAACCTATAATTTTCCTCAGTGTCATGCATCTAAGCAAAGAAACATTTGGGGACGGTTTGATGCAGTCTTCTTGAAGACAAAACTCTGGGAAGGTCATTTTGCATTTAACTTGGTAAATCTTGTTTTGGTTTTTAAAATTCAAAGCATGAGAATGTTGAAGGAACACAGCCTTGCTCTAAAGTTTGGTGTAGGTTAAGTTCTTGAGTCTCACTCAGTTTGCTTACCTTACAAATTTGTGGTATTATTTGTTTGGATGTTTTAGTTATTTAATGAGATATTTTAACAAGGAAACCAACAAGAACAAAAAAAAGAGCATTGACATATTACTATCCGAGAAAATACTCTCTTACACACATGGTTAAACGGTGAAAATAAGTGTTTCAAGTTCTTAGGAAAGGAAAATATGACAACATTTATTAAATGAAAATTCCAATTGTAAATAAAGAGCAAAATGAAAGATAATAGGAAGAAGTAGGGATAAAGATCTTTATCAAATGGGAAGGGAACTGAGATGGAGAGGAGGTTAAGGAGAGAAAGAGGATGAAAAAAAGAATTGGGATGTGTTATGTGCATGTACCAACTCCACACATTATGTACTACATTGTGTACTACAAACATATACTAATAAAAGTTTTTAAAAAACAAAAATTCCTTTTTTTTTTGCAGTATTGGGGATCGATCTCAGAACCTTGCGTTTGTGAGACAGGCATGGCACCACTGAGCTAAATTCCTGGACCCTCAAAAATTCCATTATAAATAAAGTTCAAAAGTAGGCAAAAATTAATATAAGTTATAATCTTAGAAGTCCACTTAATAACCATTTTAGGGGAGACCTACTAGCTAGACCTACTAGGTGGCACCAAAGAAACTTCAAGTATAATGTTAAGTTTCTATTTTGATCTGGGTACTGGTTACAAAGACAATTACTTTGTAAAATTAAGCTGTATACCTATATGAGTTTTATCTTTCTGTGAAGTGTTTTATGTTTTGTACAAATGTTAAAGTCAATAAAGATTTTTAAATGGGGGCTGGAGCTACAACTCAGTAGTAGTCCTTGCCCAACATGCATAAAGCCTTAGGTTCAATCGCCAGGTCCACTCCACCCCCAAAAATATTTTAAAACATACTCAAAGTTTTTAAAAACACAACCTATGTATATGGATGTGTATTGCAGCATTGTTCATTGTGGAGAAAAGAAGCAGTTGTGAATGTCCATCTACAGATAAATAATTGCATTAGGTTATTATACATCATGAATTACAATGCAGTCATCTAGAAGAATGAGTCAGAAAGGTTTCCATGCTGTATTTTTGAGTGAGAGACATGAAAGTTGCAAAAGAGTGTATATAATATATTTTGATTTTATTTAAAAAGACAATATGCTAACTATTGTGTATATATCTTTTTTTCTGTGTGTGGCTATACAGGCAGAGAGAGAAAGTTAAAACAGATAACGTTGAGTTACCTAGTAGGAATGAGCAGTAAGACTGGTAGGGAGCAGAAACCAAATAAAGAAAAAGTAAGATTTCACTTTTTAAAAATAAGCAATTATTATTACATTTGGTGCTTTTATAAAATTATAAGAAGTTTATAGAGAAGAGATTGGATAGAAAAGAAAGAGTAAAACAAATTGAATCTAGCACTTGCCTAAACCCCTTGCACTAGAGGCCCAGGAGGAAGGCCAGCAAGGCCCAAGAGTCAAAGGCAGGGGTATGGGTTAGATAACCCAAAAAGGCAGCGGGAACGGATTAAATACAGGAAGAAAAAAGTGCAAAGAAAAGGGAAAAGGTAGTCAGTCATGGTGACACACACTTGTAGTTCTAGCACTCTGGGGCTGAGGCAGGAAGGTTGCAAGTTCAAGTCTAGCCTGAGCAACTGAGCAGCTTAGTGAGACCCTGTCTCAAGATTTAAAATAAAATAAAAAGGACTGGGAATGCAGCTCAGTGCCAAGGCGCTGGGCTCAATCCCCAGTGTGGGGTGAGGGTGGGGGACGCACAGAGGGAAAATAAACCCAAGTGGCTAGACCTACCTGCAGAAAACAGAGAATCTAAAAACTAGGGGACTCCAGCCCCTGATGAACCAAAAGAGAAAGAAAGCAACTCTGATTAATCACACACCATGGTTTATTGGTGGTGCCTGTCTTCCTTCCTTTACAATCCAGAGGAAAATTTCATTCACTGGTTGTTTATTGTTTGGTACAACCAAGAAATAATGGGATACTGAATTACGGGAAGCTCGGACCTTAGGTGTCAGCTTCACATTCCATAGGTGGGGGATCAGTCTTATATCCTACAATACAAAGCATACTAAAGGGCAGTGTAGAGTCACAGTCATGCATTTAAATGTCTTGAATGTTTTATATTACTTCTATTCCCATGTTGCTTTTAGCAGAACTGTTTCCTAAAGAAAATGATTCTTTGATCATTACTCTGACAGAATTCTGTGCACTCTAACATCTGTGGACCTGGTAGTCCAGTTTTCCTAATAGTTTTGTTAATGTGCTGTGAAAGAAAAAAATTTGAATATGTAACATACATGATAAGAAATTATCAATTTCTGGGACTTAACAGTTTATCAGCATTTAAAGATATTGGTGCTTGAAAAAATAATTGAAATGTTATGTCCATATATTAACTCCCCATGAGGAATGTAATCATTATGTACTGCAAACATGTACTAATAAAATATAAAAGTTAGAAAGATAAAGATATTGGTACTTGATATCCTCTTAAAGAAACGTTGCCTCCAAATTTGAACCTGGAAAGTCAGTTGAATAACTATTTATAAAGAAACACAGTATGCAGCTTTTCAATCTTTGGTATATGTGTTAAGAATTGTGGACGCCCTGTCGAGGTCCTGAGTCACGCGGAAGACGCCGAATCAGCCTGCTGCAGACAGGCAGGTCTGTGCACGCCCTGCCGAGGTCCTGAGTCACGCGGAAGACACCGAATCACCCCACTGCAGACAGGCAACCACCTGATTCCACATTACCAAGGCCCAGAGGACACCAGACCACCAGACCAAGGTACTGATTCCCACTGTTCCCGGCCCAGAGGTAGGGGCTTCTGAGCCGTCGTCCCACTGCTCCTGGTCCAGAGGAAGGGGCTTCCCGGTCACCATCCCTCCCACTGCTCCCAGCCCAGAGGAAAGGGCTTTTGGG